CTAAAAGCAACTTTAATTAACTTTAGGGCATTTTATAGTAGTAATTCACTAATTTTACACCTTTTAATCTACACTTTGAACTGTAAAATAACTGTTTATTTCTTTTAAATATAATAATAGTGAGGAGTGAATGTAAATAGGAGCTTGGGCTATTTTCAACGAGAAAACCAATCGATTGAGAAAGTGATTGATTATTATGGAAACAGACCTCTAATCGACTAATTCTAATAATCCACTATTAGGGAATGTAGATATAATAATCAGGATCTCAAGTGAAACGTTTTAGGAATTACATATAATGTCATAAACTCATAATAATGCAAGTATAATCTTATGGTACATTGTTGAAAAATAAATCTCTCAAGTGTCCCCAAATGTAAGTGTCCCGCATTGGTTGAAGAAGAGATAGTTAAATACTTTATAAGGTTAAGGGGCTACTCCTCTTATAGTTCTATTGCCATATGGTTTTGGGATGAAACCTCCTTTGATCTTGTGAAGTGAACTCTCTCTCTTGGTTTGCGGATGTGGCCCAGACCCGCATTTAACATACATAGAGTTTTGTAAACAAGCTAAGGATCGGACTATCTTATTCATTATGCTAGCTAAACTCAAGATCGGGCTTGCGTTGGTCAATACATTGACATCGCTCGAGCTCAAATTATTGATCAAGCTTGAATTGTTAGACAATGTATGTAGAATTAGGGTTTGGGGCTAGGTGGAGATTTGTTCACAAACATTCTTTGTCATGAACTATGTTACAAAATATAAAAGAAGTTATGACATATATTCTAATTCAATTGACTTATATTATTATACTACCTCCGTTACAGGTTTTGTACAACGATTTGACATAAAGCAGAGAGGGAAAATGTCTAATAGTTACACATAACCTGTAACGGAGGTAGTATAAAATATAAATGATCGAATCAATATATGAGCTTTGGTCGAGCTTGATTTTGATTTCTTTAATGAATGTTTCAACTTAGCTCTTTTATACCTCTAAGATTTCATGGTTAACGGCGCAGCTAACAATTTTTGACAAAATGTAAGTTTGGTTGTTGGTATAGACATATAGTGATGATTGAAACTACACTTGGTAGGGAGGACCCAACTTCGATCTCCGACAATAATAATTGGGAGGGGTCTGGATCCTAACCACCCACAACTGATCCCCAAATCCAATTAGCCCATATGGTGAAATGAATGGAACATAAAAATATTTTTAAAATAAAAATTTAAAAAAAAAAAAAAAACTATTCCTCAATTAAAGGAAACCTATATTTTTTGGGTTTTTCTAAGCTATGCCCTCAAGGTTGTTGAGTTTCTAAGTTGTGTCCATGCTTTTTCAAAATCACAAGTTGTGCCCTCCAACTTAAGTTGTTTAATCAATTGTACCCTCTGACGTAAACTCGGTGTTAGAATTGTAAATAAATAGGAAGTTTTAAGAAGCGGATGAGAAAAAAGAATAAGAAATACATCGAGAGCTTGACATATCAATGTTTGCTTTTAAAAGAAAGAAGGAAAAGCAAATGAGAAAATTTGAAAAAAAATGTTAAATGTTAACCTACTTATATAACTCTAACCCAATCTGAGCGTGAAATTTCTCTCCAAAGTGTGGTAATGAACCGTTAACACAACTACTAACATTGGATTGACGTTATATGGTACGGTTGAATTAACACCTTAAGTTGGAGAGTATATCTTATAATTTTAAAAAAAACATGGGCAAACCTTAGATTCTCAATAACCTTGGGGGCATAGCTTAGAAAAACCCTATTTTTTTTAGGAAACCTATTTAAATTAAACCTAATTGTTAATTATTAAGAGATAACCAAGACAACTTTGTCAGACAGTTATCGGTTAAAATTAACTGATTGAATTGATTATTCCTAAAGATCACAAGCAGTGTGTTGCAGTAAATATTATTCTCTTATAGAAAATCGAAATAATGCTACTCAATGTTATACGAAATGTTGTAATAATAAAATCATATCATATAATATAAAGAATCATACAGTACTCAGTAATTAAGTATTAATTGAATATATTGATTTGTAGGAAACATAAGTATCTTCTTATACGATTGTTAATGGCGAACTGCCCAACAAGAAAATCTCAAAATAAGGGTTTTGGTACAACAACTAATATGCTTGACAGTATTGAAATAAGGAACATTGTTCTCTTCTGAAACCGAAGAGGTAAAAATTGTTCATTAACGTATTATTTAAGGGGTCAAAATGATAAAATGAGGGCCATTCTTGAAGTTTACAAAGTGTATAAATTATTTGTGGACCGTTAAATGCATCAAATATGTAACGATTATGATATATGCAACCTTAAAAACAAACTATATATACACATGAAATATAATTTATAATATGGTATTGTGTGGAATTTAGTAATGCACAATAAAAATAAATTACAAGTTGGTCGATTTTATTAATGTATAATTTATACTTAATATATCTCTTTTACAATATTATTAAGAGTTGAGCACAAAATTGTTTAAAATCAAACAATAATGTTACATATAATATATATATATATATATATATATATATATATATATATATATATATATATTTAATTATTTTGATTCTCTATCTTAAGGTATATCATTCCAAAACTAATGGTCTTATTCACCAAATAAGCATTGCATGCGTATATATGGATTAGGGGGCTACTATACCAACATTATGACAACTAAGGACATATATTAAATAACTTGGTATAATTTAAATTATACTCTATTTATTTTAATTTTAGTCATTTGAATAAATTTGATCTTATGAGAACTTACATGAACTATTTTAGTTGTAAATTGAACTTAACTAAATAGTCCTTATTAATTTCTATTTGAATCTGTTTTAATTTATTTTTTTCTTAATGAATATTATTTAAATCTATCAAAACCGATCAAACCTCATTGAACTTATTTTTTGAATATAAAGTGTAAATATTTTTTTTGAGTGAAAAATTAAGTGTAAATGAAATGAATAGATCAATGTATTATAGTGAAACAACCACATTTATGATATTCATCAAACTTTTACACTATAGTCCATATTCATATATCCCCCCAACCCTTTTTTTTGTGAAAGATATTTATATAACCCCCCCCCCCCTTTTTTGAAAGATATTTATATCTCCCTTTATTCAATTCACAAAAGTTTGCCCTTTTTTTCTTGGTTTGTATCAAGCTAGATAAATATTAAAAAGAGTTCATTTTAGTTTATATGATTCTAATAATCTCCTTTAATTTTACTATATCTTCAAACCCTTATTGCAAAGACAAAACTATCAACCCACTTCCATAAAACACTTGAAAAAGTAAAATTAGTGATATGAGACAATTTTAGCAACAATAGAGCGTACCATAAAACCCCTCCTTTGACCCCATGCACTCCTTAGATTTCCCCAAACAATTAAAAATATACACACATCACATATACGAGTATATTCTAATTTCTTTTCCTTTTTTTCATGACAAATTTGACATTATATTCGTCCCCACAAGAATCATATTATATAATTGCAATAACAAAAGGATAATAAGACGTATATTAAATTAAAATTAACCACCTTAATTAATTGACAATAAATCTATGTTTAATTAGTTGGTTACAACTAATTAAAAAAATAATAAAAATAATAGGAAACATATTGTCGTTCGGCCCCAAATAATTTTGATGTACCTTATCATCAAACACATAGTGAAGGAGCATTTGCTAAATAGCACCAAAAATAAATAAGTGTAGGAGCATACCACAATTTTGTATAACTCTTTGTTACCTTATTTGATATAATGGCCGACCCAATATGTTGGTGGGTGATACCTACACTTAAATTAAATAAACTTTCTTCCTTCTTAGAAAATGACAAATACCCAATAATACATATACACTATAAACTATAGCTTAATTGTATATGTAATCCTCTTATGAATATTCATTTTAATTAATCACTTACTTCTTTTTCAACGCTTTTGGTGTATTAGGATATAGGAAGGATTGTTTAGTTAGTATTTCGGTTATGGTGACCCATAACATGAACCTAGTTGTTACTAGTTTAATTTATTCACCAAATTTAAGCATCTATTTTAAGGATGATCATTGTGAAGAAGAGCGTGGTATATATGTATAGTAGCTCCTTTCATCATCTATTTTATTACGTGGCCATCACCGATTAGTCAAAAAGAGTGTATTTCTCATAACAAGTTAGGGTGCGAATTCTTCCTACACAACATAGAATTCTGTTAATCTAAAATAAATCTTACTCGACTTGAGCTTACATTATTCACTGATCTCATAAGCTTATTACATGTTTCATACTATAATATACAAGATCACTATTTTTAGATAGTTAACTCCACGAAAAAAGTGTAATTCTCATAAAATAAAACAAGTTAGAGTGAAAATTATTCATAGATAGATGTATTAATTTGATATTAGTCTGACTCCTCAACCTACTTACATATCCCACTTGTGCACTTCCATAATCATACATCCTACAATAATATATGTGACTATAGGGTCTGTTCTAATTAACCGAATTAAAGCTGAGCTGAACTGTACTATTTGGAGTTGAACTGAACTGGACTAATTAGAGTTGAACTGAACTAAATTGTTTAAAAGAGAAGGAAATTAGAAATTAAACTGAACTGAAATAATTGAAACTGAATTAAACAAAAATTAAGTTCAAGAGAACGCACCCTTATTCCTAACTAGTGTCATACCAACACCAAATTTACAAATTAATGTATGTGGACTATAAAAATATAGCATGATAAAATGATAATAATTATTGTTGATCTAATAGTCTTCTCATCTAGTCATCATAGAAAAAGAAAGTATAAAGTGGCCTAATTAAATGGGACCCAAGTGTTATTGTCTAGTTGTTATGAGGGCAATGCACGCCCTTTCATGCCCCATCCTTGAATCTTTTTAGTCAAGACCAAATAGTAACCTCCTTGGACCACACTTTCCTTCCTATAAAATACCCTCCAAATCTTCATTTCCACATATCTCATTTCTTGCATTTTCATTCACTAAATTCTTACACTACATTTCTCCAAATTAACCACAAATTCCTCTCTTCTAATTATCATCATTAATTAGTCTAATTAAACTCAAGAAAACTAAAGATGAAGTTGAGCAGTCCAAGTATGGGAGGAAGCAAGAGGAAGTTTGTTAATCGTGGATTAAGTGGCATGGTTAGAGAACAAAGAGCAAGGCTTTATATCATTAGAAGATGTGTTGTTATGCTCCTTTGTTGGCATGAATGAACTTCATTTCTTCTTCTTTTTATTTATTTTTTCTTTTTCTTAGAGAATGGGAAGATTAACAAAGATAAAAAAAAAGTCTTCCTTTTTTCTGTTTTTTGGGCAGATTTTATTTTATTGATTAATTCATATTGTAAATAGCTAGTAGGGTATTAGATTAATTAATTAAGGTTAGAGTAATTGAGAGAGTTTTGACACAATTTTGCCATCATGTACATGGGCATAGCTTGAATGAAAAATCACCATCACTTGTTATATAACCAATCTCATGATTTTTGGCAATATTGTTCAATTGTTGATAATTTTCTATTTATTTTCGTGCTATAATTCCAATATTGGTTGAGCTATCAAAGTTAAATCAATTGAAGCGGGTGTTGTGAGATTGAGTTTTGTGAATTTTTTGTGCTAGATTTCCTACTCAAAATCATTTGGACTTTGTGAAGTTAATATGATCCATAAATAATGGAGGTAAATACGATGTCTAGTGAAGAATGCATAATATTATGCACCAAATCAAATACTACTTCCGTTTCTTATTACGTGCAACAAAGGGTATTAATTGTGAGATATAAAATATTCGTTTGTTGCACATCATAAGAAACGGAGGTAGTACATTACATTGTACAAATTTCGTATTGGTTAGAAATTTCCATAAACTTGTTAGCTCATTGATTATCGATCTTCAAATTCTGATTGACGCCGAGCTTTGATAGATTTCATGCTACAATGTTTTATGGTATCAATTGTAAGTGAAAATTCAGCTCACTACTTGAGCATTCAAACTTTGGATATCACCCAACACGACTTTTATTATATGAATTACGAGGGAGTTATCTAAGTGAGTGAGCTTTCAACGGCTCTTTTCTGTGGACTTAAACTATGATAAAAGAGGGTGGGGAATGACTCAAGTGGTTAGAGCTTTCCTCCGGATTTCAGGAAAAGAGAGTGAGAAATGACTCAAATGGTTAGAGCTTTCCTCCCATTTCAGGAGATCTGAGGATCGATTCTCACCCCTACTCTTGTGGTTCTCTAAAGTCTAAACGCCAAAAAAAGAAAAACTATGATAAAACTTTTGCTATTGGCGTGGATTTGATGGATTAACAAATTAAAGGGTACATTTTTGACATAGTTATCAAGATGATGATTTATCTAAATTACTCTAAGAGACTCCAAGAAATGGTACCAAAATTTCACCATATATTATACATTAAAGTTCTTCAATTTTAATCAATAAATTAAGTTTGTAAATGTTGCATAATATACGGTCACAGATCACCTACCATGTAATCCATCATAAAAAGAAATTCAACCCAAGATTGAGAATATACTTCTGTGACAGCAACTAGCTGTAACATACATGTGATTGACAAAGATGGAAAATAGTAATTAATTAAATTTAGCATAAATTACTTGATTAGTATCATGCATTAACATAAAAATAACATTAAAACTTGCTAGTCATAATATTTCTCATGTACTTCTATTAGCCTATGAGTTAATTAGCTGAGAATTTGTAAGGAATTTCATTTGTATGTCAGAAGATTTAAATTGAACTGCAATGTCAGTTACCATAATATTTTTGTATGACATATTATATGATTTAAAGTTTATTATATAGTTTATAACCCCAATTAAATGATAGAATTTAGGAGTATAGATGCCACAACTTGACTAATAATCTTGTGCTCCTCCCAATTCACAAGGAAGACCAAACTTCAATTAGTTCAAAATCTTATAAAATAACACAAATTCTTATATGTGGCTAGCTACACTGTCATTATAAGAGTTACTTTGTCAGTGTTATTAGAGTTACTCGGTCAGTGTTCAAGGGTTAATGTGTTGTGTTATAGGGTTACTTTGTCAGTATTATATATAGAAATTACTCGGTCAGTGTCATAAATGTTACTCAATTAGTTATTTAGGAATTACTTTATTGCTTTACAAACTGTCACACAGTGTGGTCAGCCACATACAAGACGCGTTGATAAAATAATTGTACATTATTTCTTATCTAATTTAGGCTGTCAATTTATTATTGATCGAGCTCATCAGGTTATTTCTTTGTTGCTTCAGTCATCTCCTTATTTCATGCTTAAGTAATCGTTTTGTCGTGCATATTTAACTAGGTAATACTCCTAACTTATAATAATTATTATTTAGTGCATTATTTAGTGAAATAATTATTTTAACAAGACTATAATTGCCCAAATAAGCTCAATTACGTTGTTCAATCCAAGTAAACTCAATCTGATGCGCGTAGGGTAATTTTAAGACAATTGAACTTAGTTACTTTCATTACAATATAAAATATCCTCTATATTCGTAATTAGTCTTTTATATTATCTCAATTTTTATTAAAGAAAAGAGATTAGATCATATCATATCATTATACTAATTTTGTAATTTCTATTTTCCGCTCATTACTAAACTTAAGCAATACATAAAAGATCCTCTAAAAAAAGTACATAAAAGGGGTGGGGGATAAAAAAAAAAGTCACGTAAAAGTTCTCTAGGTATGTTTCGCAAATGTTGTATAGATCTACCGGTTACAGTATCATCGATCATATGAAAAATCTAATCAGTAATGTATACAATATGACAATTTTTTCTAGATATCATATAGACTGTAGAGTCCACGACATGCACGGGTATGTGACTAAGAAGTTCACACGAAGAAGAGAGTAATATATTTTCCTTTCTTTTTGGCAATATCTTTAGTGTATGGTGCACTTGAATTGAAGTTATCAAAAGAACCAAGGTGAGAAAAATTGAGCATGCATTACTTGGGAAAAGAGGTTAAGAGGTGGAGTAAAAGATACCCTAAAGCATTGGAACTTCAAGTTGAAACCAGATGTAAGAAGAATTTTAATTTATATTAATCCCTGATTTGCAGAATTATTTTAAGATTTTCTAAGTCAGTTTGAACTGTCTTAAACTGGGCTTCATCTATAGTAAAAAATTAAAACATAAAAAAAAATACCAATATTTTTTCCCGAAAGAACAAGGTAGTCAGAATTGCACGTGAACATCTCGTGATTGACACCCTCATTGAAATATGGATCATCTACTCCAAAGTTTGAATCTAGTAGCATGACATTATAAGGTTTTAGTTACTCTTTTCGTCTTTTAAAGATTTTTATTTTTTATCTATTTATGATAGTATAACTTAAAAACTTAACATTAAAAAACATACAATAAAATAAATTCAATAAAATTTCAAGTGACTAAATTATTTTCTTATAAATTATGCGCAATAGTTTTTCATGATTAAAGTTTATAGAATTATACCAAAAAAAATATTGTAATGAGACAATCTTTTAAGAACAGAGTATTAACCTTTATGTACTTGTTCTTCTTGTTCCTTTAAAATGAAGCATACTTTCTTTATAATTAATGCGTTCCATAATATTCTCCCACTAATAACAATGCTAATTATTATAATTAAGATATGATAATCTCGATTTACGTACAGTGGTTTGCAGGATTTAACCTTTTTTTTTTTTAATAAATTTCTTATGTTTATGAATATATATATGACAATTACAGTTGTCATATTATTGACATCTGGATTTTGACCGCCATTTGGTTTGATTATAATCGTGCTTGCTATAAGAATTAGGCTATATGCCTAAATTGCTCCATGCTTCTTTGTTTTGTTTAACCTCAAATAAATAAATAAAAAGAAATAACAACCATTTTAACACAAAATTTTCATATGTAGTTGACCACACCGTATGATCCAGTGTACTTGGTCAAGGTTTACTCGATCGGTTACTCATCAAGTCAGTTAGTGGTTACTTAGTCAGACAGGGTTTCATCGATCAGGATTTACTCAATCAGTCAGAGGTTTTACTAAATCCGTATTTTGATGTATGTTAGCCGGCCACACAAAAAACGCACTATTTTTCTCATTAAAAATTGGGTAATGCTATATGTAGCCCTAACTCCCTAAGGCCTATATATAAGCATTAAATATACTCTTAGAAATTGTATATGTAACCCTAAGGGCTGTATATAAGCATTAAATATACTTATTATATATAAGCATTAAATATACTCAATTAAAATCTAGAACAATATATGGCCGATACTAGTAAATTTGCTTGGTGTTCATTGACTAATTTGTTAGGCACATGAATAATAAGCTATCCTATCCTTGAACAAAAAAAAAAAAAAAACCTATCTTTATTAGGAAATTTTGCAAATTGCCCATTTAAAAACAAAATTGCAATTTGCAGCTCAAAAGTTCGTATAAATTGTAAATTGCAGCCCGATTCAACTTTTTCATCGGTTTACATGTCAAAAAATCTTCGGTTAAGGTTTTAGGGTCCATTTTATCCCTTAGGATTCCGGATTGAGCTAAGAATTAGCAAAAAAAATAATGTAAGGGTCTGTTCTGTTCCGTTGAAATTCAGTTCAGTTCAGTTCAGTTCAGCTCAGCTCTTAATTTATGTCTAATGATATTGCTAATGATATAAAGCCAAATTTCATTCTTTTAAGCTCTTATTACAACGACAACAACAACAAAAACAACAACAACAACAACAACAACAACAACAACAACAATAATAATAATAATAATAATAATAATAATAATAATAATATTGATACAATTCATTGTTCAAATGGTTCTATTTTTTTGATACATATTTCTAATGTTAATCTCATTGAGAAAATTAGAGTACTACACAACTTAAAATTTGTTTAAATGGGTTAGATACATGTAAGTGTTTTGTGTTCTTTTGTCCTAATACTATTTTATTTTTAAATTAAATAGTATATGTGTTTAAAATGTTTAGAGGTTTCAAGTTTTTAATATATTTTCCATACATTTTATAATATATTTTCCATACTTTTTATAATTATAATTATATAGTATATTTTTCGTAAATATTTTAATATGTACATTTGTATATACACATATGTATAGTAATAAATAATCAATAAATAATCAAAGATCATTAATCCGTAGTTAAAAATCACTAATTAATAAGTTCAGTTCAGCTCAGTTCAGTTCAGCTCAGTTCAGTTCAGTTCAGTTCAGTTCAGCTGAGTTCAGTCAATCGGAACAGGCCCTAAGTTCCTCGTTTTGCGTAACAAAAATGTATCGATTTGTGGTAAACTGTAAAAATGAGACACTTACGTTATTTTTTTGCTAATTTCGAGCTCAATTCGGTCCTTTATAAACTAAAATAACCCCTAAAACCTTAACCGAAGATTTTTCAACTTGTAAACCGATGAAAAAGTTGAATTGGGCTGCAATTTATAATTTATACGAACTTTTGGACTGCAATTTGCAAATTTTTTTTTAAATGGCTGCAATTTGCAAAATACGAACTTTAAATGGTTGCAATTGACAAAT